AACAAAAAGGCAAGGTAGCAATGTGGCTTAGGTGAGAGAGCACAAGTCTGGCGCAGGCAAGGCTCTGGTAATACCTGACACCAGTAGGTCAACACTACCAGAACAATAATAAAATACTGACCCCACAATAATAAAAATTCAGAAAGCAAATAAATAAGATACAAAATGAAGCAAGTGCTGGAAAGAGGCTACTAAATGTGGAGTGCATGCCTTGCATGTGTGAGGACACAAGTTTGACCCAAGACTACATGTTACTCCAAGCATCACTGAGTGTAGCCTTGGCATCATCTAGCCCAAACAACAAACTAGCAGGCTTGCACTGTCAGGCCAGCCTGAGAGTTACCCAAACTCTGCTCTGAACACACTATTTGGGAGGACTCCACTAAAAAGGGCAACCAACTGAAAAGGGAAAAGTATTTGTAAGCCACATGTAAGATGTTAATGGCCAACAGTGTGTGTATTCATACACACACACACACACACACACACACACATATATAATGATCCAACAAACTAATTAAAAATGTACAGAGGGTCTGAACAGAAATTTCTTGAAAGAAACTATTGGATGGGCAACAGGCATGTGAAAAACCATGTCCAACATAAGTTATCATTAGGGTAATTCAACTCCAAACAACAATGAGATACCATCTCAAGCCTGAGAGAATGGCAGCCATGCAAAAGACAACAAAGAAGAGCTGGCAATGCACAGGAAAGAAAGCCTTATACGTTGTTGTAGGAATATACTGATGTAACCAACATGGAAAATGTGAAGATTCCTCAAAAAATTAAGAGTAGATGGAGCTGGAGCAATAGCACAGCAGGGATGGCATTTGCCATGCAAGTGGCTGACCTGGGTTCGATTCCCAGCATCCCATATGGTCCTCCGAGCACTGCTAGGAGTAATTTCTTAGTGAAGAGCCAGGAGTAACCCCTGTGCATCTCCAGGTGTGACCCAAAAAGCAAAAAAAAAGTAGAAATAACATGTGATTCATATACCAAAGAATTAAAAAACCCTAATGTTTACGGCAGCACAAGTCACAGCAACTAAGAGTTAGAAACAAGTCACCATCAATAGAAGAGCAGAAAAAAATAATGACTTATAGACACAATGGAATACTAAAAGCTATAAAAAATGTAAATCCTGATATTAACAACAAACTGGATGAATCTAAAAATAAAAATATCATTTGACTTTATCGATATGTAACAGATGGGCTGGAGTGATAGCACAGCGGGCAGGGCGTTTGCCTTGCATGCAACTGACATCGACCCAAGTTCGATTCCTCTGCCCCTCTCAGAGAGCCAGGCAAGCTACCTAGAGTATCTCGCCCGCATGACAAAGCCTGGGAAACTACCTGTGATGTATTCGATATGCCAAACACAGTAACAAGTCTCACAATGTTATTGGGCCCGCTAGAGCAAATCAATGAACAACGAGAGGACAGTGACAGTGACAGATGCATTAAAATAAATGAAAATTTTAAAAAATGAAATCTTTTAATATACTAAAACAAAACAATAGTTACATGAATGCAAGGGCTATGAGGGTAATTACACTGGGTCAAAGAGATCAACAGTATGGTAATGGAATAAAACTAGCCAATAGTGACAAGAATAATGCAATAAGATATTAGCTTATAATGTTGTTCATCAAACTCCTAATAAAATGTCATAACCAAATGCTACTTCAAAAAACAGTCATACAGGAGTATGGGGCTGCCAGCAGGTCAATCTGTACCTGTGAGGTGAGTACATCAGAAGCCTGATGGCGCCTTCAGACTTTCAGATACCCCAAAATTGCTGCTGTCCTTTGGCCAGACCTCAAAAACTTGGAGCAAAGTTTGCCAAGAATGTAATTGGCTAAAAGTTAGGTATGTGGAAGACACACCCACAAACCACCTCCGGCTCAGCTATATAATTGGAGGATGGCCTCTCTGGTTCCTGATCAAACTGCTTAACAGCCATGATCCCAGAGACTAAGAAACAAATCTCGAAACCCAACGGCTTTTGGCAGAAATGCATCCAGTCCCTGCAGTAGGTTACTGGCGCTGGGCAACCCCAGGTGGGAATAGGTTTCGTGCGTTTACCTGTTCCCCCTGGTGGCCCAGTGGCAGCCATCCTCCAGAGGCTACTGGACAGTGAGGTTTAGGCCCGCAGTGACGAGACATGCAGGGCCTCACAGGATGGAGGTGGATCCGGTCCTTTCCTCCCCACCCCAACATGACCCCGAGTCGCTGCCTCTCTGGCTCCTGATCAAGCTGCTTAACGGCCATGATCCCAGAAACTCAGAAACAAATCTCAGAATCCAGCAGGTTTTAGCATAAATCACTCTAGATTTAAGTTGTTAAAATTTCGGAATTTCAAAATCACACAGCCACTAACTACCTCAGCCACGCGACATCATATGTTATTCATAACCAGTAATAGAAAACAAATTGTCTACTTTTGCCTTTTCAGCAGATCTGAGGGTTTGGGTAAAATCCCAAATAATAATGGTGGGTATGGTGTCAAAATCTTGAATTTAATCAAAGTAGAGAGAGAGTAATGTGGAAATCATCTGCCCCATGGGTAGGGGGAGGGTGTGGGATGGGGTTTTCGGGGATGGAGAATGGGCACTGGTGAAGGTATGGGTGTTTCATTATTATGACCAAGACTTAAACCCAAAAGCTTTGTAACTGCTCTCACGGTGATTCAACAAAAAAAATTATAAAAAAATGAAAAAAAATTAAGGTGGAGTTCACGCCCAATTCAATCAGCTAATCAGTGGCTGAATAAATAGCAGTACCCCTACCAAAAAAAAAAAAGTCATACATTTCTATTTTGTATGTTTTTCTAGATGCATGCTTTAGTTTAATGTAAAGGTTTATAATAAAAATTGAGTGAAAATTTAACAGATAAGACTAAATATACACTTTAAACCTCTTCAAAGCAAAAACAACAAAGAACTATATTAAGCACAATTAAGTAGTACAAAAATGTAATGTCTAAGTTAATGCAATAAAAAATTTCTGAACTCAATGAATAAAAAACAAACCAAGGGAGAATACAATATAGTGAAACATATACGGAAACTGCAAATAAAACATCTCTAACCTGTGCTTTTACAAAAAGATAAAGAGTCACTGGTAGCACTGAAAACTGATTCACTATTTTTAAATTTCTGTTTCATATATTTGGAACAGTTTTCTTTATGGTACATGTTTCAAACACTAAAATAATTTCAAAATTCACATAAAAATAATAGAGCCTGGGGGTATGATGCCGCCAGCAGGTCAATTTGTACCTGTGAGGCAAGTGCATCAGCATCCTGATGGCAACGTCAGACTTTCAGATACCCCAAAATTGCTGCTGTGCCTTTGGCCAGACCCCAAAAACTTGGGGCAAAGTTTACCAAGAAAGTAAACGGCCAAAAGTTAGGTATGTGGAAGACACACCCACAAACCACCTCCAGCTCAGCTATGTACGTGGAGGCATGGCCTCTCTGGTTCCTGATGGAACTGCTTAACGGCCATGATCCCAGAGACTCTTGGAACCCAAAGGCAAAAATGCATCCTGTTCCTGCAGTAGGTTACTGGTGCTGGACCACTCCAGGTGGGAATAGGTTTCATGCTTTGGCCTGTTCCCCTTGGCGGCCTGGTGACCACCATCCTCCAGAGGCCACTGGACAGTCAGGTTTTGGGCCTGCAGTGACGAGACACACGGGACCTCACCAGATAGGGGTGGAACCGGCCCTTTCCTCCCCATCCCAGCAATACCCCTGAGTCGCCACCTACAAATAGCCTCTCTAGCTCCTGATCAAGCTAATTAATGACCATGATCCCAGAAACTCAGAAACAGATCTCGAAACCCAGCATCTTTTGGCAGAAATGCATCTGGACTGCATACAAGGTGGCCGCTGCCTCAGAGCTTCTTGGAAAGCCAGGTATGAGCCAGCGGTGATAAGGCAACTGCAGTCTCATGGGAAGGGGGCAGTACCGGCTCGTCCTTCACACCCTACCAAGGTCACAAGTTGCCCCCCACAAGCGGTTCTCTGGCACAGCCATGACTCCAAAGGCAAAAGGACTTAATCCAGAGCCCGGCAGCTTGTGGCAGAAAAGTGAATGGACCATGCATTAAACTACGGCACCATGCCTCCCCAGGAGGGAAAGGGTGTCTCTCCCTTCCGCCTTCCCCTACGCACCTCCCCCCCACCCCGGCAGCAAGGTGACCGCCAGCTCAGAGATTCTTGGAAAGTCAGGTATGAGTCGGCGGTGACTGGGCAACTGCAGTCTCATGGGAAGGGGGTGGGGGGCGGTACCAGCTCGTCCTTCACGCCCTACCGAGGTCACGAGTTGCCCCCCACAAGCGGCTCTCTGGCACAGCCATAACACCAGACGCACAGAAACCAATCTCGTAATTATCTGGCTCTTTGCAGAAATCCAAAATTGTGAGGCCACTATTGCAGCCACGCGAAATTATATGATTCTCATAACCAGCTATAGAAAACAAAGTATTTCACAATGCCTTTTCAGCAATTCTGTTTGTTGGGGGTGGGGGGGAATTCTGAACAATAATGGTGCATCTTTTGTCGAAATAATGTAATCAATGTAGAGAAGAGTTAAGTGGAAATTATCTGCCTCACAGTTGTTGGGAGGGGTGGGAGGCGGGTATATTGGAGTTCTTGGTGGGGAAAAATGAGTACTGATGAAGGGAGAGGTGTTTGATCATTGTATGACCGAGACTTAATCCTGAAAGCTTTGTAACTTTTCCCACAGTGATTCAATAAATAAATATAAGAAGAAAAAAAACAAATAAAATTATGAAAAAAAATTAAGGTGGAGTTCATGCCCAATTCAATCAACTAATCAGTGGCTGAATAAATAGCAGTACTCCTACATAAAAAATAATAATAGAGTCAACTCTCCATACATTACAGAGTAAACCTTGGGTTTTTTTCTTTACCTTGAATGAACACTTCACTCCTCCAAATATTTAAAATTAAATTAAATTAATCTCACCTTGCTTGAGAATTTTGGGGATCCACATTTATCAAGTCTGTAAAATCTTGTATGGCTGGCTGCCACATTTCATTTTCATAGTAAAACAACCCACGTTTCATTAATGCGTCAGTTCTTTTGGGATCATAAAAGATACACTGTGTGGGAGTGGAATAGGGAGGAAAGGAACAAAACCATAGGACATAATAAGAAAGAGAAGAATATAATACCAGAGAAAATTAAATGGACTACAACCATATCATTTTAAATTTCACATAACATTAATTAAGGCAAACTACTCTAAAATACCAAAACTTTCTGATTTATATTTGTTGAGGATATCTTTAGGAAGTTGATTTATCTTCAAATTCTAGAAAGGAGAGATTTTCTATGAGAGAAAAAATCAATCAAGTCTTTTACTTACTAACATTTTTACTGGTGAAACTTCAGAAGTGAACTACTCAACTATAAAAGGTAGACTAATATATCACAGTATCTATCCCAGTTACATATGACACATAGAAATCATGGCTGACTCAATCAAATTGAGCAAGAATGAATTCCATTCTTAAAATGGTGGGAGGAAAAATAAAATAAAATAAAATGGTGGGAGGAGGGGATGAGTTTGTATTGGGATGATTTATTTCTTTCTCATTGACATACAAGTAAATAGTGTAAACAGACTAAATCACTGTAAAAGTTATAAAATGCTTTACCTATTAACAGTGGAAAAATAACTGAAACACCAAATAATCAAGTGAATTATATTTGATATTGAGGTATACAGGCAGTAGAAATAAATAGAAATGATAATATTTTCCTAAAACAGAGGAATGTCAAGTGTGTAATCTTTATGTATTAAGAAACATCATTGGTGGTGGAAAATGTATACCAGTGGAAGGATGGATGCTTGAGTATTGTATGACTGAAACTCAAATATGAAAGTTTTGTAACTGTAGCTCATGGTGATTCAATAATAATTTTTAAAAATACGGAGTGGGTCAGAGAGTACAGCAGTTACAGTGCTTGCCTTCCATAAAACTGACCCAGGTTTGATCCCCAGCATTCCATATGGGTCCCTGAGCATTGCCAAGTCCTGAGTGTACAGTTAGGAGTAACACTTGAGCATCACCAGGAGTAGCACAAAAAAAAAAACCAAAAAATAAAACAAACAAACAAAAAAAGAGCTGAGTAAAAATATAAAGAAAAATGGAATTTGGAAATGTGGATGGCTAAATTATTAAAATTACTTATAATTTTGTAATGTACTAAGAATAAGAATTTATAACTCACACTCAGGATATCCGACCATAGCAATAATATAGGGGGGAAGGCCCTTGCATTGAAAACACCTGACCCAGGTTCAATATCTGACACTCTATATGGTCCCCCAATCTCTAAAACAAGTGATCCCTGAGCACAGAACAAGGAGTAAGTCCTGAGCACTGCAAGGCATGGTCCAAAAGTACAACCCCTCTTCCCCCCAACTCACATACAGATGCAAATGAAGAAAGCTAGGTTACAGTTCTGCTTCAGTCTGGGAACTATTTTACCTAATATTTGTCTCAAGGTACTGTTCAGTTAAAATTTCACTTCCTTGTGGGATATCCTTGATAAGCCCGACATATTAACAACACCATCATCTTTGCTTCCTTCACAGGAACTCATTATAGTTAGCAATTGTACATGCATGTACTTATTCCTGCAATATACATCCTTTAAACTCTAGGTTCTATGTAAATAAGGAACATATGACATTTGTGTGCATTTTATTCACTGAGCTTCATCCACTAGCATTGTTCTCTCCTCATTACATATCTGTACATAAATGAATGCCAGTGAGGAGAATTTCTTAGAGCAGAATGGTTTGCTGCAGAAAAGAATCAGCTTTGACTCAAGAATTAAAAAGTAGAGAAGCATTTTTTCTATTGTTTTAAGGTAAGAAGCAATTTTCAAAGGTATATTTACTAGTTCAAAATTCAAGAGGGAACTGTAAAAGTCAAAATCTACTGCAGAATTAGCTTATGGACCAATACCCAGCTCATTGATTCAAATGCCTTCATTCATTTACAATTTGTTAAAAAAACTTCAGTGACAAAAAAGAAGGTATTAATATCAATTCCAGTTAGTAATATTATAGGCTTTAATCTGTAACAAATTTTTATTATATAACATGTAAAAAATTTTAATAATTTATTATAATATTGAAATTATCCCATCTAAATTATGTAAATGGGAGGATCATGTGTTACACAAAACTTACCTTAGAAAAATCATCAATGGCCAGTATTTTGTTTTCCATTTCATACAATTCACCCCTCCTGAAATAAGCATCAGCATCTGTGGGTTTGCATTTAATTGCCTGAGTATAGTTTAGAATTGCCAAAGTAATATCATTTCTTGCTTTGAAAATTTCTGCCTTAGACAAATATGCCTCTAAAGAAAGTTAAAATAAAATATAGGGTTAGGTAGTTAACAGTTCTTTTATTTACTCAAAAAAATTTTAAAGATTCAACCCCTTTCCCTTCAAAAATGCACTATTAAAATGCTGTTTCTCTATCATACCTTGACCATTAAAGTTTTTTTTTAATTTACCAATGAAAATATTGTTTTCAAAGATTGACTAAAAACTCTTTTATGTTGAAAAACATTTTTTCAGTTTTGGAATCACACCTGATTGTTCATAGGGCTCACTCCTGGCAGTACTTAAGGGACCAAATACAGTGTTGAGGATAAAACTCAGGACAGCTGCATTCAAGGCAAGTGCCTTACCCACTCTACTATATATCTGGCCAAAAAAAAGTGTGCACTTTCAATTTGAAATGATTAAAAATTACCTTAGCCTTAAAACATTTAATAGACTTCTAAAATTTCATAATAAAGTTATTTTAATTGCACAAATTTTAAGGACTGTGACAGAAATCAAACATTTGTTAAGTTCACATTATGTTCTAAGGATAAGTTGGGGATGCTAGTGACACAAAAGTAAGTATGGCATCTTCTCATTCTCACAATGCTCCATGTCATGAAATCTAAGAATGTTAGAGAATGGTGCATCAGTGTAAACATACAGTTTCACCCAATCACCATGTCTTTAAAATATTAAAACTCAAATTCAGAAGCTTGTGGTCAAGAAAATAATTGTGAATCACTTCCACAACAAAATCTAAAAGTTCATGTTCTTATGATATTAGCCAATTTATTGTAAGAACCAAGTTACTGATGTATACAAAAGCATTAACATTTCAAGACATGATTAGTACTTTGAAAATAATGTAGAGTCATATGATTTTAAATTTACCATAACAAGAAAAATATACTTGTAAAAGCCATGAAAATTTTAGGAGACATTTTAAGAATTTTGACTTGATTTCTGTTCCACATCTGGAGATGCTCAGTGCTTATTCCTTTTTCTATACTCAGGGATCACTCCTGGTGGTGCTCAAAGGACTATATGCAGCAGCGCCAGGGATCAAACCCAGATCAGCAACATGCAAGAGAAGTGTCCTAATCACTGTCCTATCTCTCTGATCCTGAGGAGATTTATTTATTGATTTATGTATCTTCTTGGGGCTGGAGCGATAGCACAGCAGGTAAGGCGTTTGCCTTGCATGCAGCCAACATGGCAGACCTGAGTTTGATTCCTCCGCCCCTCTCGGAGAGCCTGGCAACCTACCGAGAGTATCTCACCCGCTCAGCAAAGCCTGGCAAGCTACCCATGACGTATTCGATATGCCAAACACAGTAACAAGTCTCACAATGTTACTGGGCCCACTCAAGCAAATCGATGAACAACGGGAGGACCATGACCATGACCGATTTATGTATCTTCTTAATACCATTACATAACAAAAGCTCAGTAAAGAGATAACAGTATCTATACAGACTACCTACCTGCATTATATTTATTATGCTTATTTATATAATTTAAGTCATCCAAAGCTTCATTAAATTTATCTTGGAAAAGATAAATGAAATGTCGGTGCCAATAGGCATTGAGAAACAATGGTTCCAAGAGTATAGCCTAAAAAATTAAAACTATGTTTATAAAATGGCATGCCCTTATAAAATATAAAATATATAAGCTCCATTAATGTTAATAAATATGTCATATAAAATGAAATTTTCAAACATTACTAATTTCAATGACTTTGGATAGTATAAAACGGTACCTCCTAATACACACAAAATCTACTGGTCTTAAGTATTTGAAATTTCACAGTATCGCTACAAATAATCATTGTTCAAAATTCAAAAACTACCATAAGTCATAACCAGTATACATTCTAATTTTATTTATTTTATTTGTATCTATTTTTGTTCAATTTTTATGTAGGCATTCTGATTTACAATACTGTCAATAATAGTGTTTCAGGAACACAATATTCCTGTTGCACACCCATCACCAGTGTCAGTATCCCTCCACCAATGTCTCAAAGTTCTCTTCTCCCCACCTACCCCCTTAGCAAACTTATTTTCAAGTTAATATAGTTTGGGAGATTATGTTTATTATGTTACCTCATCTTACCCCCACCAAAATGCCCAATTAATATTATTTTCTAGATGTCACTTACTTTCTCTAGATCATGCATGGCACTCTGTAACTTTCCTAGTTTTCTATAAATAGCTCCACGTCTACAATACGAAAATGCAGGATATGTTGTCTTATTATTTATTTCTTCAGTCAATTTTTCCACTTCAGAATTATAATGTTTAATGACCTCTGGAGCAAGATCAGACTCCAAAGAATCACTCAGTTCCAATATCGGTAGCTTTTTCACTAGAGTATATTCTTTAGGAGTAGTCATTTTAGGAATTTTGGGGCCTTCCTTGTGATAAGTATATTTAGAGAACAAATTAAAAACCCATGACCGAAGGCCAGCAGTCTTTGGATTTCCTCCCTTCTTTAGGACAAATTCATCAAAATTTAAAACCATTGGTAGGCTGGGACTCCGAAGTTGCCGTTCATACACTGGAACTCTGAGTAAGAATTTCTTCTGTCCAGGAAGAATTTCTTGAGACACTGATCTAATTTATAAAAAAAAAAAGTAATTTTTAAATAAATATATATTGCCTTTATAGTAGTGGCACAAAATTATTCTCTAGTATCAAAATAAAATTACATGCTAGTTTTCTGAAAACGCAGTCCTACTGTTAAATTTTCAAATCAGAAGTTAACTATAAATTAAATTTGTAATACTCTAAGAATCTCTAAGAATTATGAGAAAAATATTAAAGATAGAAACTTTCTAGCCAATTGAAACAAGAAACCAATATTCTTCTTAGTATTGGGTTGCATCCTGCCTCCAACCAGAGAAATTACAATAGAAAATGAAAGAGGTAAAACTTTGTTGTAAGAATATAAAAGTTATCCAGTCATAAAAAGTTTGTATAGTCAAATTTTTTATCTTGTTCATATGCACTGAGGAATGAGTGTATATGAACAAGATAAAAAGTCTGACTATACATCACACTACTAAATAATAATCCCACACTTTACCCTTCTGTAGTATACTATTGAATTATATTAACATATAGTGTTTCGAAAGTTGTATTTTCAGTAATATCCTGCTGAAGTTCTCCATTTTCCACACAATTTTCATTCAGTAAGCTTTACTGTGTGGTTTGTACTACATCAGTCACACACAACACAAATAACTCTCGAGCTGTAAGAAACGGGAATCAGGAATGCAGACAGCCTGCGGGAAATGCCATTCCTCCTCTGCCCATCCAATCCAGGTATTGAGCAGTGCAGGGGTTCTTCCCAGGGCTGTGGCTGCTAGAGGCCGCAAGTTATTCTCCCCCTCAATACTCCATAAGAACCATAAGTTAGCCTCTTAGGTGGAACCTTCACTATAGCAGCCTAATCAACAGAAACACATTAAACCAGTAGGTCATTACCCCCACCTCAATTACTGTTACACCAAAAATACAATAGTAACAGTGATCATGAAAGTCTAAACTGCACAGGTCATAATGGTAAAGCAACGCAGAAGACCACGGAGCTTACTTAGAGAAGAGACTAGCCCAGATGACCCCAACAGTAATGAAGCCATGGACAACCTCTCTGACAAGGAATTTAGAAGGGAGGTACTGAGAATGCATAGGGAGCTAAAAAAAAAAGCAATGGAATGCACCACAAATAAAATACAAGAGGATTTGAAAGTAGAAATGGGGAAAATGCAAACAAAATTACAAACAGAAATGAAAGAGCTGAAAAACCTGGTAGGTGAACTGAAAAACTTTGTGGAAGGCCTCAGCAGCAAAGTAACAACTACTGAGGACAGAATCAGTAAGTTCGCAGATCAAGTGCAGAGTCCAGAAAAGAGCAGAAAATGGGAAAGATACTCACAATCCACAAACAGATGTCAAGAGAAGATCAGGATGAAGCCAAGAGGAATAACATAAGAATTAGTGGAGCCAGGGCTGTAACTATAGCACAGCGGGTAGGGCGTTTGCCTTGCATGCAGCTGACCCAAGTTCAATTCCTAGCATCCCATATGGTCCCCCGAGCACCGCCAGGAGTAATTTCTGAGTGCATGAGCCAGGAGGAACCCCTGTGCATCGCCAGGTGGAACTGCAGAGGGACAGGAAGAAAACCCTGATGAAGAAGAAACCATCAAAGACATCATTGCTACGACATTCCCAGAGCTGAAGAACACATGCAACCACATTCAGGAGGCCCAAGGGGTACCTGAAGGGTACTAGAAGAAATCAAAATAAAAATATCCCAAGACACATCCTGATCAAAATGATTAAAACCTTAGAGACAAAATTCTGAAAGTAGCAAGATCAAAGAAAGAAATTGCCTATAAAGGAGGATCCTTAAGATTCATGGCCGACTTGTCTGATATAACCCTCACGGCTAGAAAACAGTGGTGGGATATTGTGAAAAAAACTCAACTAAATAAATGCTTCACCAAAAATACTTTACCCAGCTAGATTCTCATTCATAACAGAAGGAACAACACACAGTTTCACAGACAAACATCAGCAGTAGTAATCAAAACAGCATGGTACTGGGCTAGAAGCAGACCCACAGACCAATGGAACAGAGCTGAATATTCTGTCACAGACCCTCAAATGTATGACCACTTAATCTTTGACAAAGGAACAAGAAATGTAAAGTGGAACAAAGAAAGCCTCTTTAACAAGTGGTGCTAGGAAAACTGGAGAGCTACCTGCAAAAAAAAAAAAAAAAAAAAGAACTCTGACCTCTGTCTAATGCCAGGCACAAAAGTCAGATCAAAATGGACTAAAGACCTCAATATCAGATATGAATCCATAAGGTACACAGAGAAAAATATAGGCAGAACCCTCCATAATATTGAAGCAAAAAGCATCTTTAAGGATGAAATACCACTCACCAACCAAGTGGAAAAAAATATAAACAAATGGGACTACATCAAAACTAAGAGGCTTCTGCACTTCTAAAGAAACAGTGACCAAAATACAGAGAGCCCACAGAATGGGAAAGAATATTTACCCAATACCCATCTGATAAGGGATTAATATCCAGGATATACAAGACACTAGTAGAATTGTACAAGAAAAAAACCTCCAAACCCATCATAAAATGGGGAGAAGAAATGAACAGAAGCTTCCTCAAAAAAATAAATACAAACAGCCAAAGGCACATGAAATAAAATGCTCCACATCATTAATCATCTTTGTATCACTGTATCACTGTTGTTTGTGAGTGGGCGCCAATAACATCTCTATTCATCCCAGCCCTGAGATTTTAGCAGCCTCTCCTTACTGTCTTTCCCAATGATTGGAGGCTTTTTCAGGGCAGGGGCATGGGAATGAGACCTGTTTATAGTTACTGATTTTGGCATATCGAATACATCACGGGACTTGCCAGGCTCTGCCCGTGAGGGCAGAATAAGCTTGCCGGGTTTTCCGAGATATATATATATATTTCTCCCTATGATTTGTTGCCTACTGCCTGAACTCCATCAAACATGGTGTGGTAATCATGGGAAATTTGTAGGAAGTGTCTTAAAATGTGTTGCGTGGCCACAAAGCAGGTCACTGGAGACTGGGGGAAGCTGAACTTTGTGACCTTGGACTCTGGACTCAACAGGACCGGGAGCAGAGATAATTGCTAGTCATCAGGGAGATCAAATCAAAACAACAATGAGATATCATCTAACACCACAGAGACAGGCACACATTCAAAAGAACAAAAGCAACCAGTGCTGGTGTGAATGTGGGGAAAAAGGGACGCTCTTTCACTATTGGTGGGAATGCCGACTGGTTCAGCCTTTCTGAAAAACAAAATGGACAGTCCTTCAAAAACTAGAAAGTGATCTTCTATAATGACTCTGCAATACCACTTTTGGGGATATATCCCAAGGACACAAAAAAAAGCACCATATAAATGACATCTGTACCTATATGTTCATTGCAGCACTGCTCACAATAACCAAAATCTGGAAACAACCCAAGTCTCTGAGAGCAGACAACTGGGTAAAGAAACTTTGGTACATCTACACAATGGAATGCTATGCAGCTGTTAGGAGAGATGAAGTCACAAAACTTGCTTATAAGTGGACAGACATAGAGTATCATGCTAAGTGAAATGAGTCAGAAATAGAAGGACAGATAAAGAAGGACTGCACTCACTTGTGGAGTATAAAATAACATAACATGAGACTGACACGGAAGGACAGTAGATACTAGAGCCAGGAAGATTGCTCCATAGTTGGAAGCCTGCCTCATGAGAGGAGGGGAAAAGGCAGCTGGAATAGAGAATGGATCTGAGGAGGAAAAAAGAACAGCGAAGGAATAGAGAAGAAACAAAAATAGAGAAGAAAATGAGGATTGGAGGAATTGGTTGGGATGGGAGATGTGTGCTGAAAGTAGATAAAGGACCAAACATGATAGCCTCTCAGTATTTGTACTGAAAACAATAATTCCCAAAAGTAGAGAGAGAGTTTGGGGAATATAGTCTGCCATGGAGTAGTGGGAGGGTGGGAAATGGAGTGTATATTGGGGATATTGGTGGTGGGGAATGTGCACTGGTGGAGGGGTGGGTGTTTGATCACTGTGTGATTATAACTCAAACATGAAAGCTTGTAACTATATCTCACAGTAATTTAAAAAAGACATAAATAACTCTATTAGAAGAAAACAAAATCTTTTCATTTCATTAAGTTGTTTACACATTGAGAAACAGCTAAAGTCAAACAGTAGGGAAATGCAAGTGAGGAAAGTCACTTCCCTTCCCCTACTTTTGACAACTCATTCCACTCCCTAGCTGCAAGCTGTTGCCATGCTTTCTATCTGGAGTTCAAAATTTTCCTTTTTTAATTAAGGGACAACTACTGACACAGTGCTCAGGAACAACTCTGAGAGATGTTTTAGGAAGTAGATTCTGGAACTCCTTGATGCAAAGTATTTTGAGTGATTTCCCTTCTTATAGAGTATAAGACTTTCTTAATTCTCTGTTTCTACTCTGCTCTTTGTCAAATCTATTCTCCACATATCAGTCAACATACTTTTCACTAATTACTGACATAATGTAGCATTATGACATCATATAAACTTCAGAGAAAATCAAAATATGTGTAAACAACATAAGACACATCACTGAGAATACAATTCTTTTATAGCTATGTAGTATTCCACTGTGTGGTATGGCCTCCTGAGTACTTGTTTAGGAAATCCACCCATTCAAGAAAATAAAATAAAACAAATAACAACAACAAAAAAGATTACCAAAAGGAGAGAGAGAACAAAGGGAATGCCCTGCCACAGAGGCAGGGGGGGTGGGAGGGATATTAACCATGGTGGTGGAAAATGGGCACTGGTGGAGGAATGGGTATTTGATCATTGTATAATCAAAACCCAAGCACAAAAAATTGTAAATCTACAACTGTACCTCATGGTGTTTCACTAATAAAAATTTTTTTTAAAAAAAGATTATCTAGATTACTACATGACCCCACAATTCAAAATTTAAAGTGTCAAGTACAAGCAATGTATTGATTTTTCAGTTGTGGTATTTGTTTAAAGCAGGGGTTGATTTGGGTACTAAGTCATTTCAATAATTATAGAGAAATAACTTAGTAGATTTTACATTCTTATACTTCCTTATCAAATTCACATGTATTTCATGACCTTCAACCAGGCCTATCTTTAAATTATAATTTAAACCATTCATATATAGCCACTTACTACAACCAGACACAAAAGTTTTTTTAGTAAAAAGTTGAACAAATTTTCAGTGTTAAATTAATAATAACAGCCTTAAACAATTAAGTCCCAAGCCACAATACATTTCTTAAACTATAAAAATAATTAATTAAACAAGACCTTTGAAGTGTTTTTGGAGGCTTGGCTAATTCATCATATACAAATGGAAGTCTACCGAATCTTAAATTTTTCTCTTTTTTTTTCATTTTCTTGGGATAAACAATGTATGAAATGCCAGCTTGTCTAGATGCTTCAACGAGAGAGACTGACAAACTTCCTGACTTGGTATTTTCCTGCATGCGAGCTAGGATGGTATCTATACTTTTTCTCACAGTTTTATCACTTTCTGTATGTATAGTTTTATAGCGCTCCAATTCCTTTGCTCTCTGAAATAATACCTCTCTTATATTGCTTTGCATGTCATTCTTGATTTCAAATGGAACAGTGGCCTTCTCCTCCATCCTTAATTCAATGGCAGATTTTGCTCTCTTAAAAGGAAATATAAAGGTAAGGAAAAATCAATGTAGTTTCTATACATTAATTCATCTATTTGGGGAGTTACTGAAGAATCTTAAAATTGACAGAATCAGAAGCAATAGCACAGTGGGTAGGGCGTTTGCCTTGTACGCTGTTGACCCAGGTTTGATTCTTCTGCCCCTCTCGGAGAGCCTTGCAAGCTACCAAGAGTATCTTGCCTACACAGCAAAGACTGGCAAGCTACCCATGACATATTTCATACTCTAAAAACAGTAACAACAAGTCTCACAATTTGTTGTGAGACGTTACTGCTGCCTGCTCAAGCAGAACTATAGTCATGCAAGGTTACCAAACAAGTATAAGATTTGAACCTTTCAATCAACTCTGGATGAATCAAATTACACTATTTCATGAAATCAAACATAAAATATTAAAGATCACTGCTAGATATAAAAACACTTTTCAAAAATAAAACACTGAGAACATTATCATACCTTTAATTGTAGAGATTTGATACTGAAATATTTTTGGATATTATGAAATGATGCAGCCTTTTTTAGGATGAAATGCTAAAAAATAAAATAATAAATATACATTGAACATAGATACTATTTGGAAAACTAAAATACTCTATTAGAGTTGTCTAACAATTGTTCAATTAGATTAAATGCAGAAATACTCATTAAAGCACAGGCTCTTAATGTTTTCAAAGTCACTGGCTTTATAGAAAGAAACAGAACTTAGAATCCATTAATCAATTTAGGAAATAACAATAATGGAAACCCTTTTTCTAAACTGCCTTAATAAAATAAAATTTTACCAGGTGGCTCTAGAGATAGCACAGTGGCAAAGGCTATTATGTTGTATATGGCTGACTCTAGTTCAATCCCTGGCATAGAATAAGATCCTCCAAACCCAACAGTTGAGAGTTCTGAGCCCAGAACCAGAAGAAGGTTCTGAGTAAATCTGGGTGTGGCAAAAACTGACCAAGTATCTGCCTTGTCAAGATGCTATCTGCTGTAGCTTTCCAGTTGTTATCAGCTGGAGAGTTGACTATATCACAGATGTGCTATGTCATAGTCCCTTTTACCCTAGTGATGCACTAGTGGAACCTGAGAAAATACTATCTTTAAAATAATTGTTTCTTATAATATGAAAATTCTACTTTTTTAATACACATGATCATACAGTTATTATCTTACCATGAGAGCTGTTATACTAAAAGAGTTAGGAAACACTGCAATATGACAGAGTAAAAAGTACAAAACATAGCACACCCAATGAATGTTCTTAGATATTCTCAAAAAATGTTTTACTAGAAACAGTATCTGTACCACAGAAAGATAAACCAACCAACACACAATTCAAAATGAAATTTATACACACCTTACGTCTCAGATTACTTGAAGACATGTTGTACTGCTTCTTAAAAACTGAAAATCTCTCAAGTAAAATTCTGCTTGCTTGAGCACTCTGTGAATAAAAGGATAATGGTTTTGGATTATATAGTGGAATACTTTTAAACCCTACATCTATTATTTTATAGTACCGTTATTACCAAAAGAAAGCAGACAGAAAAGCTAGAACACTAGAAATCATCAGAGATATTTTGAAGTCCAGTTTTGGTATGTAGCCAAAACATACTATCTAACTTCAGTGTTGGCCTACAGCTAAATAGATATTTTTGCACTATTTTTGGCATTTCTTCTTAGGATCAACCAATGATCCTGTAATCTTAGAGGTTAGCACTGAATCTATTTAAAATCTCGACTTTCAGAATTAGAAATAAATTAGAAACAAAGCAAAGCATTTGAATTTATTGTTAAATGTGACTATTCACACAAGAAAGCATTCTAAAATTTCCTTAAATAAGCTTAGCTTTGGAGCCAAAGAGATAGTATAGCAGGTATGGTGCTTGTCTTGCACATGGCCAACCAGGTTCTATCGCAGCATCCCATATGGTCCCCCAAGCACTGCCAGGAGTAATTCCTGAGCGCAGAGCCAGGAGTATGCCCTGAGTATCGCTGAGTATGGTCCAAAACTCAAGCTCCTCCAATAGAGCTTAGCTTTATAGCTCAAATTAGGTACATATATGAAGTTATATGTGTGAATTTATTATTGTGGGATGGAGCGTAGCACAGTGGTAGGGCGTTTCCACTCTTTCTAACATTCATTGATTTAAAGAATTTGATTCTGTTGAGACGGAAGTGGTCATTGAAGCCTTAGCCAATCAAGGCATTCAAACTCAATACATCAGGATCCTTCTTAAGCTGTATTACGGATTCACTACTAGGATCTTACCATTCTACAAAGAAGTAATCATCGATGCCAAGAGAGGAGTTCAGCAGGGTGATACCATTTCACTGAAACTCTTCAGTGCCACCCTCAAGAACATCAAGCGACAATTGGAATGGGAAGGAATGGGAGTGAAGATAGATGGCCGGCAACTACACCACCTCCGCTTTGCTGATGACATTGTTCTAATAACAACAAACATTAGCCAAGCAGTACAAATGCTGGCCGACTTCGACTATGAGTGTGGGAAGGTCGTACTACAGCTGAATCTCATGAAGACAAAGTTTATGAGAAACAGTCTCATTCCTGATGTTCCATTCGGTTTCAACAGGACGAACATCTCCGAATGCAACAGTTATGTGTACCTAGGTCATGAAGTCAACATAAAAAAAAAAGAAGTCAACATGACGAATGATCTGGCACCTGAGTTGCGCAGGAGTAAAAGAGTGGCTTTGAACGCCTTCAAGAGCATCAAAGAAATAGCTAAGAGGACGAAGAAACAAAGAACCTCCAGCTCCAGGCTCATCTCTTCGATTCCACTGTTCTTCCTGCATTAACATACACCTCAGAGACCTGGGCCCTACGAAAACAGGATGAGAATGCTATTGTGGCCTCCCAAAGAGGAATTGAGAGCTATGCTTGGAGTATCATGCTTCACTCAAGTGAGAGTAAGAATCCGGAGTTCTGACCTCCGTCAAGAATCAGGGATGCTCTCTTGTTTGCCAAGGCATTGAAAATCAGATGGGCTGTACACATAATGAGATTTGGAGATGACTGCTGGACTAGAGCCGTTACCAACTGGATTCCACAGGACATTAAAAGACCACGTGGCCGCCCATCTACGAGATAGTCAGACTTCTTCATCAAGACCCTGAACGATCGGTTTGAGGCTCTTCATGTTCCTAGAACAAGCAGACACCATTGGGCTACACTAGCATGCAACAAGGACCAATGGAGATGTTACTGGCACCCACTTGAGCAAATCGATGAGTAATGAGATGTCAAGTGATTAAGTGATGATGGACTTGGTAATATTGCATAAACCAAGAAAGCTGCATGTAATGTGAAAAAGTTAATCTATAAAACATAAAAGAACTAACAAGATAAAGAAACTGGGCTGAAGTTTAAGAAAATGCCTGGGAAGGTAAATCCTAATTCAAGGATATTTGCCAAAACAGATGCAAATTTGAATTTCAGATTTTCAACTTCTTGATCCAGAGGTGATAAACACTGAAGCATAGAATTCTGAATATGCAACTGAGTGAGATTCTATATATATGTGTATATATGTAAATGTACAATTTAAATATTTTGCATGTACTTATATAGGTATATGCTATTTATGTTTATTATATAAACACATATATAAAATTAAAAGCTATGTCTTTTAATATTTGCAAATAAGGCCACACCCTCATGGCTCTGCATTCAGAACAAGAATGAAGAGAAGTAAATCCATCTTTGAACAGACTTTCAGCCTAGACTGTGTCAGAAGGATGGACAAAGAAACTCATCCTCCAACCTTAGTTTAAAGACAGACACACAAAGAAACAAAATACCAAATTATAGGGTCAGGTCTATAGCTCAATGATAGAGCAATTGTTTTGTATGAGTAAGACCTTGAGTTTGAACCCTGATACTGCATGATTATGGGGACACTACGTGAAGAAACACAAGAGTTGGCAGTAACTATGGGGTATGGCTCAAAGATTTTTAGAAAAAATTATGTAGATGGGTATTTGATCATTGTATAATTGAAACCCAAGCACAAAAATTTGTAAGTCTACAACTGTACCTTATGATGTCTCACTAATAAAAAATTTTTTAAAAATTATGTAGAGGAATGAGCAGTAGTATAGTAGATAGGGCACTTGCCTTGAACACATGCAACCGGGTTAAATCCCCAGCACCCCATATGGTTTCTGAGTCCCTGAAGGAGTGATCCCTTAGCATAGAGCCAGAAGTAAGCCCTAAGCACAGTTGGGTGTAACTCTCCAAAAAATATTTAAAAATAAACAAAAAATGATTAGATAAAAACAAATTCTGAGCCAGCAGGTAGTACAGCAGGAAAGGTTCTTGCCTTGCACGTGGCTGACCCAGATTCTAGCCCGGCACTAGATATGGTACCCTGAGTCTGCGAGCAGTGATCCCTGAGAGAAGATCAAGGAGTAAGATCTGAGCACAACTAGATGTGACCCAAAAACCAAATAAATAAATGTTATAAATTATAAAATATATAAACTCTACAAAAAAAGTTCAAAATTGTTTAAAAGTAAAGTAAACAAATTTAACAATATTTAGTTGATACAAATGAAGAAAGAATTTCTGAACTTGACTGTGACAGAACAGAAGAAATTGTTCATAAAATAGCACTGTTCTCCCGTTGTTCATCGATTTGCTTGAGCAGGCACCAGTAACGTCTCCATTGTGAGACTTGTTGTTACTGGTTTTGGCATATCGACTACGCCACAGGGAGCTTGAAAGGCTCTGTTGTGAATACTCTTGGTAGCTTGCCAAGCTCTCCGAGAGGGACAGAGGAATCAAACCCAGGTTGGCCAGGTGCAAGGCAAATGCCCTACCCACTGTGCTATCGCTCCATAAAATAATATTGGTAAAAACATATGCCATTTATAGGGCTCACCTAAAACAAACAACAAAAAAGGATTAAATACATCAAAGTGAGTAATTCTACATTGATGAAAAATAAAACAGTATTGATAAGGCGATTCATAAAAAGAAGATTGATAAATGTATAATGAAAAGTTTCTAACTACATAAAGCAAAAATTATTACTATAAGCAGGGAGAAATGGAAAATACTAGATAGATTTTATTCAATTGATTTTTCTAGTATTTAAGATAAGCAGTATGACATAAAAATGAGATCAAGCAAGCATTCTTTAAGGAAACAAAAATTATAGTTTTGTTAGTGTTAAACACTTTAAATATTACATTAACTTAATACATGCTCTGTTTCTTGAAATCACAGTTAAATAAAATATATTTTCAAAAATAAAATATTCTTATCATCAGACTATACATAGATAAGCACAATAATTTTAGATATACAAATTACATGCATTACATGCATTTAGTTAAATACTTATTTATAATATCATTTCTATAGTCCCATTCTATTTTCTTAATTCAGGTACTAGTTGTCTGACAATTTGAATATTAGCTACACAGTGAAATTTAATAAAATTTAACATTAAAAACAATAAAGGTAAGTCATTCAATACATTACCTCATATTTCGGATAGACGGTTTCCTTAATGACAGAAACTGGAACATAGAATTTGGATGAAGCTGAATTCCAAAGAAACTTTGTAAATCCTGGATAAGCAGACATCTTTGAAAATAATACATAAAGGCAGTAAGACACTAAGAAATGGATTCTAGGATAAAATCTCAAGTTCCTGTGAAAGTTGTTTCTAATTGCTTAGAAAGTGATTGGTTTCACTGTCTCCAAAAATCTGGGAATGACAACTTTTCATACTCATCAGATTATGAAAAATGTGAAGGTGGTAATTCCAAGTGATATATGATCATGCCAAGGATGTGGGAAAGCTATCACAAGTATACTGGAGACAAACTAGACGTTTCTTGTAAAACAGAAAATGCACATGCCACAAAATCCAACATTTCACCCACAATCTAAAGGATTCTCACATGTTAATGAAAAGATACCTACAAGAATTTTCAGACAGCATATAAAAGAATAAAAATTAAAAACCCCAATCTAAGTGCCCATCAATACAAAAAGAGGTGAGTAAAAAAATATTACTATATATAAAATAGCCATTCAAGCACAAAAGACTATAAATCACAGACAGATCACAAAAAGAGATGTATACTATGTGATGGCATACAGAACATACATAGAGGCCAGAGAAATGGTAGCTGAGGTAAGATGCAATTCCTAAAAATCTCCAGATATGGCTCAAATCCCCCTCCAAAAAAAGAGTGGTATGTTAGACCACAAAACTACATAATATGCTGTTTAGGATCACAAAATAACTAGCAAATTACCCCACAGGCTTAGGTAAAAAGCAAAAGAAATAAAATTAAATAAAAGTAAAAGTAAAATCATTTAATGTTTTTCAATTTTTGTCATTAAAAATTAATATTGGTATTTTATTATATTTGGGCTCATATGGTTATAGAATTAATATTGTTTGTAATATATAGTTAAAACACCACAACTATCAAAATGTCGAAGACCCACCACTGTCACATTGTCACTTTAGTCTGATCTTCCTCCCCTCAAGCCTCAATTGCTTTTTTCTAGTTTCTTCAACTGAAAAGTTATCTGTATGCTATTTTCCTTGTTATCTATATGCTATTTTCCTTGTTTCCTTATGTAAACCTATTTTGCTTACACCTTGGTACTTTCATGTAGTGCCCCGCTGGTTTTAATAGTTTACACTTTATCCTTGTTCATTTTTAAGAATCTGTTTCTTTTTTAATTCCCTTTCCACTCAAAGATCTAGACAAACAGTTTCGAATCCTTAGTCCTTATCCAGAATGATCATTTCCAACTATCATTGTCACGGTGATCCCTTACCAACTGCCTTCTCCCCCAGGACTTGAAGCAAGCTTTCAAACATGGACCAATCCTAGCCTTTGTTTCTACTGCCCTTGGGTATTAGTCTGAAAATGTTTTCATCACTCCCTCATACTGAGTGATAATCTTGTAAGGTATAGGGTTCTTTGATGGAGGTTCTTTTAATTCAGTATTATAAATAGATCATTTGATTTTCTTCTTGCTTATAGTTTCATTTGAGAAATCTAACATGTCTCTTACTGGGGTTCCCTTATACATGAGTCTTTTTTTCTCTCTTGTATCCTTTAATAAATTCTCTTTCTCTCTTTCTCTCTCTTTCTCCATTTCTATTAATGTGTGTTTTGGAATTCTTATGCTTATGTTCATTTTGTTTCACACTCTTTGTGACCTCCTGAATCAGTGCACGTCTCCCCTCTCTGATTGAGGAGTATATTCAACTAATACATCTCTCTCTCCTCTCCCTCTGAAATTTCTAGGATGTCAATGCTATTTCTCTTGATGTAGTTAATTATAAGTCCTAAATTTTTTTCATTTAAAAAAATCTCTATTCTAAGAATGATCTCTTCTTTTTTGATGACATCATATACCTTGTCTTTGAAATTATGAATTTGGTTCTTCTTCCATTCTGATGCTAAATCCTGCTACTATAGTTTATTATTTTTTTACATCAACCGTTTCTTTTTTAAAAAAATTTTAATGAATTACCGTGAAATATAGTTACAAAGCTTTCATAATTAAGTTTCAGTCATACAATGATTGAACACCCATCCCTCCACCAGTGTACATTTTCCACCACCAAGGTCCCCAGTATACCTCCTGCAACCCCCACTCCACCCACCCCCTGTCTCTATGGCTGACAATGTCCTTCTTTCTCCCTCTCTACTTTTGGGCATTATGATGTGCAATACAGTTAGTGAGACTCGGCTATAATGTTTGGTCCTTTAACTACTTTCAGCACACATCTCTCATTCCAAACGATTGCTCCCCCATCATTAACTTAGTTTATTTTGGGAGGTGGGTGGTTTTTGTGCCATACTTGATGGTACTCGGGGCTTACTCCTGGCTCTATGCTCAGGAATCACTCCCGAAGTGCTCAAGGGACCATTTTGTATGCTGGAAATCAAGTTGTAACTTTCAGATAACTGCAGATCCACTTGCAGTTTTAAGATATAAAACAGATATATCCTGATTTCCAGTTTGTCTCAGAAGTAACATTTTTTAAAACTACAGTACAATGTCGTGAGAAAGATGTTGACATTGATACATGAAAATATAGAACATTTTCATCACCACAAGATACCCCATGTTCTTTCATAGGTACAGCCATCACCCACCACTCCCTGCTCAAATTCTAGTGACAACTCATCTGTTTGTTTCTAGAACTTCATCCTTTTTCACAAATTATATAATAAATTAAATCATATACTACTGACATTTTATAATTGGCTTTTCAGCATAACTCTCCAAATATTCAACCTTTCAGTATAAAAAAAGTAGCAAGTGAAGGAGAAAAATGTAAGTTTTTGAGTGAAATCTTTTGGGTTCTTTTGCATAGTAACTAAGCACTTTATATCTTATTTTTTATAGTGGACTTTTTCGTTGTTTTTTTTTACAAAGTTTTCGTGATTAGATTTCAGTCATATAATGTTCCAACACCCATCCCTACATTTCCCACCAATGTCCCCTGTTATCCTCCCATCTCCTGCCTCTATAGCAGGCTCTCTCTCTCGCTCTGTGTGTGTGTGTGTGTGTGTGTGTGTGTGTGTGTGTGTGTGTGTGTGTGCTCTTGGGCATTGTGGTTAGTAATACAGATACCAAAAGGTTATCATGTATATCCCTTTACCTACTTTCAACACTCAGTTCTTGTCCAGCGTGCTCATTTCCAACTATTATTGACATCTTCTCTATCCTATCTATCCTCTGACGCCCACACACTAGTGCACTTGTGATATATTCCAACAACTGACAGTTCTCCTGGTCTGTTTTCCCTGGCCTTGGATATTAGTCTCATACTATATTACTTTTTACATCCCACAAATAAATGCAGTCATTTCATATCTGTTCTTCTTCTGACTCATTTCAGTCAGCATGATATTCTCCATGTTCATCTATTTATACACAATTTTCCGGACTTCATTCTTCCTAATGGCTGTGTAGTATTTCATTGTATAGATGTATCATAGTTTCTTTATTCAGTCATCTGTTCTTGGGACTCAAGTTGTTTCCAGATTCTGGCTATTGTGAATAGTGCTGCAATGAACACAGAAGTACAGATGACATTTCTGCTGTGCATTTTTGGGCCTTCAAGGTATATTCTCAGAAGTGGTATTGGGTTAAATGGGAGCTCAATTTCTAGTTTTTTGAGGAATGTCCATATTGTTTACCAAAAAGGTTGTACCAGTTGGCATTCCCACCAACAATAAATAAAAGCCCCTTTCTTCCCACATCCATGCAAACACTGGTTGCTCTTGTTCTTTTAGATGTGTGCCAGTCTCGGGTGTGAGACGATCTCATTATTGTTTTGATTTGTATCTCCCTAATGATTTGTGATAGATAGTATTTTTTCATGTGCATTTTAGCCATTTGAATGTCTTTTTTGAGAAAGTTGTTTTTCATTTCTTCTCCCTGTTTTTTATGGTATTAGATATTTTTTCTTGTAACGTTCTACCTGTACCTTATATACCTTTGATATTAACCCTTTATCAGATGGGTTTTGAGTAAATCATTTTTCCCATTTCATGGGCTGTCTTTATATCTTAGTCACTGTTTCTTTTGAGCTGAATAAGCTTATTAGTTTAATGAGATTCCATCTGTTTATCTTTGCTCCACTTGCTTAGTCAGTGGTGAAGATTTCTTTAGCTTCAATGTTATGGAGAGTTTTGCATATGTTTGTTCTCATGTACCTTATGAACTCAGGTCTGACGTTGAGATCTTTAATTCATTTTTATCTGACTTTTAAGGACCAGCATATGGTCTGTCCTGGAAATGTTCCTTGTGCACTGGAGAAGAACGTGTATTAGGTTTTTGAGGGATGATAAGACCTGTATATATCTACTAGACCCGCCACCCTCTTTCATTTCTTCCTTCAGAGCCAGTACTCCTTTGCAAAGTTTTAGTCTCAATGATCTATCGAGAGGTGACAAGGGAGTTGAAGTCTCCAACAACTATTGTTTTCTATCAATTTCCTCCTTTGAGGTCTCTTAGCAGTTGTTTTAAGTATTTTACTGGTCCCTCATTGAGTGAGTATATGTTTAGGAGTGTAATTTATTACTGATGCACATATTCCTTGATGCAGAAATGGCCTTTGCTATCCTATTCTAACTTTTTTCAGCCTGAAATCTATGTTGTAAGATACTAGTATGACCTTTGCAACTTTTTTGAAGGGATTTTTTTTTCTTGAAGAATTGTTTTGCAGACTTTGAATGTGAGTTTGTGTTTGTGGTGATTGTTCAAATGTGTTTCTTGTAGGCAGCATAATGTTGGATTCAGTTTTTTAATCCATTTTGCCACACTATGTCTCTTAATTGGTGCATTTAGCCCATTGACATTGAGAGAGATTACTGTCATGGACTTTGTGCCACCTTTCTGTAGAATTTTGTTGTGTTTGTCGGGCTTGTCGTGTCTTACAAACAAAATAAGTAGCCCCCTTCAGTCATTTTAAAGTTGGTTTTGAATTATGAAGTTTCTGAACTGTTGTTTATCCATGAAGTTATGCATCATCCTTCAAATCTAAATGATAGTTAGATGGTTAAGTATCCTTGGTGAGGCATTCATTTGGTTGAGCTTTTTCACTATATCCCACCATTGTCTTTGGAATTGGAGAGAGTTTTATCTAATGAGTCCACTGTAAATCTAAGGGTCAGTTCTTTGTATGCAATTTCATTCTATGACCTTGCTGCTTGCAGTATTGTGTTGCTATCTATAGTATTCATCATTCAGATTAGGATATGTCTTGGAATCTTTTCATTAGGGTCTCTTTTAGCTAGTACTCTTTGGGCTCCTTGTATCTGGATGCCTGCATTCTGCAGCTCTGAGAATTCTTCAGCAATGATGTCTTTAACTGTTACTATCTCACTGTGGCCCCCTGTCCCTTTGTGACTCCAATGATTTTTATGTTGTTCCTCTTGAATTCATCTCATAGTACTCTTGCCTGCCCTTGAGCTATTCTGAGGTCTTTTCCCATCTTCTGTTGTTGCCTGAGTGCTTTCTGCAGTTTATCTGCAACCTCACTGATTCTATCTTTGGCTGCTGTCATTCTACTGTTGAAGGCACCAACTGAGAATTTCATTTCATCTACCAAATTTTTCTTATTAGTGAAACTGCTGATTGTAGTTTTTCTTATTTATGCTCTCATTTCCTCCTGTATTTTATTGGCTGTTTGTTACACTGCTTCTTTCATATTATACTGTATTTTATTGGATGCCTGTTGCACTATTTCTTTGAGCTCATTAGATATCCTCACCGTTTTGTCTCTGAACTCTTTATCAGAGAGATTCTGTACGTGAGTATTACATGTTGAGACTTCAGGGCTCTATCTTCATCCACCCCTCATGGTAGGGATTTGAGTTGTTTCCCCATGATAGTGTGGTAGTCTGGAGGTGGATCCTTCCAGTTCACTATCAGTGTCCCCCAAAGATTTCTTATAGTTTAGGTGTTTTATTTGTATTTAGCAGGAAAAAACAAGGAAAAGTACTTCTACTTCATTTTTTCCAGAAATGGAAGTCTTATAACTAACTTTAAACTACCATTTACTAAGTTGTAACCTGTTTTCAAATAACACTTAAAGGTATAGCAAAATGTTAATAGAATAATCTTTCCTTCTCCTGCTTCATATCTTTGAAAAGCTACAATTTTCCTTATATATTTCAACCAAAATAATCTACCACAAAATTGAATTAAAGCTGACCTAAGATTATTCCAGTTGTCATATATTAAGTGATACATTGGAGTCATTTTCAAAATTACAATAATCCTAACTTACACTAAAATATTTTGTTTTTAATATGTAATTTTATAAAAGCACACTATTTATGTTAACACAGAGTACTCCTATTATTGTTATTTCAATTTTTTTTCCTTTTAATTTCCAACATTTTCAAAAGTCAATATAAATAACACTTAAATAATTATTGGGGTTCTCAATAATTTTTAAGAGTGTAAAGGAATCCTGAAACCATACAGTTTGAGGGAAAAAAAACAATATTAAAGGAAATTCTTACTTCTTTTCCCAAGAGTTGTAGTTGTGGTGTATGAGCTGGTGGCCTTGTGAGGATAGCAGCATTTTCTTCTTCATTATCCACATTAGGAATTCCATGCAGTAATCTACAATGTGATAAAAGCAATACATTTATTTTTAATTCATTAATATGAGGCAAAAGATACTTGTTTTTGTTTTGTATCTGAAAAAACACATTAGTGATATGTCGAGGACTCATGCCCAAAATGGAAAATAATTCAAAAATACATTAATTCTGACTACATTTGAATAGTGACTTTCATCTTGGTTTTGAGTTTACTATACTGAAAACTCAGTACATTTACTAAATTTAGCCTTAGAAAGCCTAACTACAAACAAAGGTAAATAGTTCTCTACTTCTTTTTTGTTTTTAATTTTTATTAGTGAAACACCATGAGGTACAGTTGTAGACTTACAAATTTTTGTGCTTAGGTTTCATTTATATAATGATTGAGTACCCATCCCTAAACCAGTGCCCATTCTCCACCTCCAATGCTCCTAGCATCCCTCTAACCCCCCCCCCATCCCACCCCCATCCCACCCCACCCCTAAGGCAAGGCATTCCCTTTTGTTCTCTCTTTCCTTTTGGGTGCTGTGGTTTGCAAAAGAGGCATTGAGTGGCAATCATATTTGGTCTATAATCTATTTTCAGCATGCTTCTCCCGTCCAGGGAGGATCCTCCCAACATCCTTTATTTGCTGTCCCCTCTCTATCTGAGCTGCCTTCTCCCCCAGAATGTGCAGCTGGCCTCCAAGCCATGGAGTGAACCTCCTGGTACTTACCTCGACTATTGAGTGTTAGTCTCCCATTTTGTTACTTTATATTCCCCAGATGAATGTAATCTTTCTATATCTGTCCTTCTCTCTCTGACTCATTTCACTTAGCATGATACTTTCCATGTAGTACTACTTGTATGTAAATTTCATGACTTCATCTTTTCTAACAGCTGCATAGTACTCCATTGTGTAGATGTACCAAAGATTCTTTAACCAGTAATCTATTCTCAGGCACTCGGGTTTTTTCCAAATTTTGGCTGTTGTGAATAGTGCAGCAATGAACATAGAAGTGCAGATGTCATTTCGACTGTACCTTTTTGCCTCTTGGATATATTCCCAGGAGTGGTATTACAGGGTCAAATGGGACCTCAATTTCTAATTTCTTGAGAATCGTCCATAATGTTTTCCAACAGGGTTGAACCATTCGGCACTCTCACCAGCTGTGAAGAAGAGTCCCTTTCTCGCCACATTCATGACACCACCAATTGCTTTTGTTCTTTTGGATGTGGGACAGTCTCTGTGGTGTGAGATTTTATCTCATTGTTGTTTTGGTCTGCATCTCCCTGATTAGTGTTGTAGAGCATTTCTCATGTACCATTCAGCCATTCATATTTCTTCTTTGGGAAAGTTTCTGTTCATTTCATCATCCCATTTTCTGATGGAGTTAGATGTGTTCTTCTTGTAGAGTTCAACCGTGCTTTGTGTATCCTTGATATCAACCCTTTATTGATGGGTATTGGGTAAATATCCTTTCCCATTCATAGATTGTCTTTTTATTCTGGTTACTGTATCTTTTGAAGTGCAGAAGCATCTTAATTTAAGATAGTCCCAATTGTTTATCTCTGTTTCCACTTGGTTGGTCAGTGGAGTGTTGTAATTGAAGATACCATCTGCCTCAATATTGTGGATGGTTTTGCCAACCTTGTCATCAATGTATCTTATGGATTTTGACCTGATGTTGAGATCTTTAATTCATTTTGATCTGAATTTTGTGCATGGTGTTAGGTTGAGGTCTAAGCCCATTTCTTTGCATGTTGTTGTCCAGTTATGCCAGCACCATTTGCTAAAGAGGCTTTCCTTGTTCCACTTCACATTTCTTGCTCCCATATCAAAGATTAGATGTTCATATATTTGGGGTTGTGTGTACAAATATTCCACCCTGTTCTATTGGTCTGCGCCCCTGCCTTTGTTCCAGTACCATTTTTTTAATTATTACTGCTTTGTAGTAGAGTTTGGGGTTGGGGAGGGTAATGCCTCCCCACGTCTTTTTCCCAAGAATTGCTTCAGCTACTCGTGGGCATTTGTTGTTCCATATGAATTCCAGGAGTGCTTGATCTATTTCTTTGAAGAATTTCATGGGTATCCTTATAGGGATCACATTAAATCTGTATAATGCTTTGGGGAATACTGCCATTTTGACGATGTTGATTCTTCCTATCCATGACCAGGGGATATGTTTTTATTTCCTCGTGTGCTCTTTTATTTCATGAAGTAATGTTTTGTAGTTTTCATTGAAGAGGACTTTTACCTCTTTAGTTAGGCTGATTCCGAGGTATCTGATTTTTTGTGACACAATTGTGAATGGGATTATTTTTTTCATTTCACTTTCCTCTCTCTCATTATTTGTGTATAGGAAGGCCATGGATTTTTGGGCAATGATTTTATAACCTGCGACTTTACTGTACAAGATTATTGTTTCTAGGAGTTTCTTGGTAGAGGATTTAGGATTCTCGATATATAGCATCATATCATCTGCTAATAGTGAGAGCTTGATTTCTTCCTTTCCCACCTGGATGCCTTTAATGTTTTTTTCTTGCCTCATAGCTATTGCAAGTACTTCCAGTACTATATTGAACAGAAGTGGTGATAGTGGGCATCCTTGTCTTGTCCCTGATCTTAGAGGAAAGGCCCTTACTTTTTCCCCATTGAGAATAATGCTTGCCATGGTTTGTCATAGATGGCTTTGACTATCTTGAGCAAAGTTCCTTCAAAACCCATTTTGGTGAGAGTTTTCATCATAAATGGGTGCTGGATCTTGTCAAAAGCTTCCTCTGCATCTATTAATATGGTCACATGGTTTTATCTTTACTTTTCTTGATATGGTGGATTATGTTGATTGATTTCCAAATGTTAAACCATCCTTGCATCCCCGGGATGAATCCCACTTGGTTGTGGTGTATGATTTTTTGATTAGTTGTTGGATTCTATTTGCTAATATTTTGTTGAGGATCTTTGCATCCGTGTTTATCGGGGACATTGGCCCACAGTTTTCTTTATTGGTAGTGTCTTTCTTTGCTTTAGGTATTAGGGAGATATGTGCTTCATAGAAGCTGTTTGGAAGAGTTCCTGTTTTTTTCTTTTCAATTTCCTGGAAAAGTTTGAGGAGAACTGGCAAAAGTTTGCCTTTAAATGTTTGGAAGAATTCACTAGTAAACCAGTCTGGGCCTGGGCTTTTGTTTTTGGGAAGACTTTTGATTACTGCTTCAATTTACTTGATATGAATGGGTCTATTCAGGTATTCCAAGTATTCCTGGTTCAATCTTGGGAGATTATAGGAATAAAGGAATTTATCCATTTCTTCTAGGTTCTCTTGTTTTGTGGCATACAGACTCTCAAAGTAGTCTCTGATGATCTTTTGAATTTCATTGGTTTCTGTTGTGATGTCCCCTTTTTCATTTCTGATTCAGTTTCTTGGGGTTCTCTCTCTTTCATTGTGAGTCTTGCTAGTGGTTTATCAATCTTATTTTCTCAAAGAACCAGCTCTTGGTTTCACTGACCTTTCAGATTGTTTTTTGGGTTTCATGTCATTAATTTCTGCTCTAAGTTTTATTATTTCTTTCCTTCGGACAATTTTGGGTTCCTTTTGTTGGTCTTTTTCTAAGATCTTGAGCTGTATGATTAGGTTATCTATGTAGGCCCTTTCTTCTTTCCTTAGGAATACTTGCAACGCAATGAATTTTCCTTTTAGCATGGCTTTAAGCTGCGTCCCATAGGTTCTTGTAGCTCATGTCTTCATTCTCGTTTGTTTCCAGGTATCTTCTGAATTCGTCTTTGACTTCCTTCCCGACCCACTCATTGTTCAACACTGAGTTACTTAATTTCCAGATGTTTGATTTGGTTCTCCATGTCTGTGTGTGATTCACTTCTATCTCAGTGCATCGTGGTCTGAAAAGATTGTTGATACTATTTCTATCTTCCTGATTCTATTGAGGTATGTTTCGTGGCCTATCACGTGGTCTATTCTGGAGAATGTTTCGTGTGCACTGGAGAAGAATGTGTATTCTTTCTTTTGGAGGGGTAAAGCCCTGTATAGGTCTATTATCCCTATCTTTTCTATTTCTTCCTTCAAAGCCAATGTTTCCTTGTTGAGTTTTGTTTTTGTTTATCTATCCAGAGGTGATAAGGCACTGTTGAAGTCTCCAACTACTATTGTGTTGCTAACAATGACCTCCTTAAAATCTGTTAGCAATTGTTTTAAGTATTTATCTGGTCCCACATTAGGTACATATACATTTAAGAGTGTGATTTCTTCCATTGTAGGTTTCCCTTGATAAATAGAAAATGGCCTTCACTGTCCCTTCTAATCTTTTTCATCCTGAAGTCTATGTTGTTGGCTACTAATATGGCCACCCCAGCTTTTTTGAGAGAGCTGTTTGCTTGCAGGATTGTTTTCCATCCTTTAACTTTGAGTCTGTGTTTGCTCTGATTGTTCAGATGAGTTTCCTGCAGACAGCAGAATGTTGGTTTCAGTTTCTGGATCCATTTTACCACTCTATGCCTCTTGATTGGTTCGTTTAGACCAGTGACATTGAGAGAGATTATTTTCATGGGTTTTTGTGTCATCTTTCTGTCGGGGTTGGTTGTGTTTATAAGTGTTTTTCTTCTTATCTTACAGGAGTTCCTTTAATCCTTCTTTTAGGTTTTGAGTCTATTCATGAGCTGTTGTTTATCTACAAAATTTTGCATAGTTCCATCAAGTTTGAGTGAGAGTTTACCTGTATAAAGTATTCTTGGTGAGGAGTTCATTTCATTGAGTTTTTACACTATATCCCACCATTGCCTTCAGGCTTGGAGGGTTGCCTTTGATAGGTCTGCTGTAAATCTACGGGATTGCTCCTTTGTATGTGATTTCCTTCTTTGACATTGCTGCTTGCAGTATTGTGTCTCTGTCCATAGCATCCATCATTCTGACTATGATATGCCTTGGAGTGTTTTATTAGGATCTCTTTTAGCTGGAACCCTTCTGGCTCTTTGGATCTGAATGTCTGCATTCTTTAACCCTGGAAACTTTTCAGCAATGATTTCCTTGA